GGGGTAATTATACAGTGGCGTCTACTTGAATGAAACTTGCAACCGCATTCACCTATTTAATCGTGTAACAGTAACATCATCTGAAGCCATTCTCTCATGTTTGTTGAAATACATAGATCTATGTAACATCTTCCATAATCAGCTGTTTGCTGCCTGTTTTATTTAGAGTGAAGTGCAAAGACTCCAACTACAACTTAATGCCCTTGCAGACAGCCGTGGGTGAATGATGGGTGCTCTGGTGTGGTTTGCTTCTTTCCTATCAAACATCTATCGTCTTTATCTCTCCTTCTTCTTTTTTATGTTCGTTACTCTCTACTCTCTTGTAACACCTCTAATCTTCTGGCGCTCATTTGACCCTATGCAGTTGTGAGCGCCGTAAAACCTCTGCTGAAACTAAAAGACAATTTAACACCATTTGACATCATTTCCGCATGTGGGTGACCCCAACGATAACCTACTCTACTACTATAAACTCTCATAGGTAAGGAGAAGCAGAAAACATACTTACGTTATGACTTTTCTAAACTTCCATTCTCATTCACCCATCTAAATGTGACATGATCCAAGCGTCGAAGGCCTTGAACGAATGTACGTGTAGTGCTAAGGGGCCGTTTACAAATGACGTCAGCTAAAATCTTTTGCTGTATGTTTGGTTATTTGTTTGAACTCCATTTTTAAATGTTTTATTAAGATAAAAAGTAAGTGTGTGGCATAATGCGATGGCAATCTATTTGAGTCACAAACATGATTATTATCATTATCATCGTAATCATATCGACGTTTGGGCAAATATGGCATCGATCGTATCATTTCACCAAATTAAATTGTCATATTATTATAATATTAAAACACTCGCATAGACACAGATTCCCTAAATGAGCTATTCTGTTTGTTGTTACAAAAAGATGGTGAGTGGTTGACGGGTACTCTGGTGTAGTTTGCTCCTTCTTTCATATCAAACATATATCGTCCTTAAATCTCCCCTCCTGCTGCTGACTGAAGTGTCTTTAGACCATTCCCAAAGGGGGGGGGGAGGCATTAACATCTCGAGTTCTTATACACAGTAGAATTGTAATTGTAAATGGGCTGATTCTTCAATGTCATGCTGTGACTGACCTGCAACAGGGAGCTGCTGCTTTTTCTTTCCTAATCCTTACTAATACTAACGTTATTTTTTCTTCTACTTACTTGTTTTTATATTTTTTATGTTTGTCACACTCTTGTGACCCGCTATTTCCGGGGTGCCTTGATAGTCGAAGCAGACTTTGTGCTGTTGAAGCTAGAGAGGTGAGCAGAGTAAGTGTGATTCCCTGTGAGGAATTCTCTGTTGACATCCACCCATTGGCGCTCATATGACCTTATGCAGTTGCGAGCGCTGTAAAACCTCTGCTAAAACAAATATCTCTTCTTCTTTTTTGAGTATGTTACTCTCTTGTAACACATCTAATCTTCGGCACTTATATGACCTTATTGTGTTGCAAGTGCCGTAAAACTCTTTCTAAAACCAAAAATCAAGTTTCACCAAATTAAATTGTCATATTATATTACAACACTCGCGTAGACACGTCATATTCGCTAAGTGAGCTAATCTGTTTGTTGTTACAAAGACGCCACAAACAAACTCATTTCTCCCAACCAAACGTAAGTCAGCTTACACAAACGGATGTGAGGAGGGAGTTTCCGGAAACGCTTTGGGCTTGGCTCATCATAGTCATACCGTATCTCTATGATGATGCCCGTTGTCGTCTGCTCTCAAA